CAGTTAGTGATCACTACAAATGGTGGAGCTGCGGGTGATTTTGATGTGTATAGTACGGGGAATGTTAACACAACTGCCGAAATAACAAGTGCAAGAATGCAGCGCTGTACCGGACCGGAGTTTCCGGGCACTGGAGAGTTTGTTTGGTCTTGTACATGTGCGATAGATGAAGAAGAATGTTCTCTTTATGCTGCAATGATCTTGATATCAACCTCATCTGTGTACCAGATATGTGAGATTGAACTTTTAGCTGGCCCTGCTAGTCACGAGTAATCATACATGTACAAGTGATGTGTCAATCTCTTCTATGAACGAGCTATGTGTGATTGAACTACTTACTTAAGCTGCTGCTCCCTGGGAGCTCTTTAGAATACATTCGATGAAGGACACTTGGGGATTTGACCCTTAATTTTGTTAATGTCAGTTGCCTGCCTAAATGCCATTTTGCCCTTTCTACTACATCTGTAGATCGACTATTATTTCCATTGTATATATCTTAGGGACAAAATGGATGAAACGTGGACTACAGGATGGTCACCTCATGGCCTTTCAAGTCAAGCCTTTTCAAGCCTACGGGGATTAACATCCTTGAGGGAATCTTTTTGGATGTTTCGTTTTTACCATTTTCACCAAATAGGAGATCAATTTGTATCCCATTAGTTTACTCATGTGTTGATTGTCACCTCCATTACTGAATAGTTACATCCCAGTTCTTGCATTTGCTATTGGGGAGTTTAAGCATGCATATAAAATCGAAACAACAACCTATACGTATGACTGATCGCCCATACAAATGCATCGTTCATGTTTAGGTTGTGAAAACCATTGCAAACTCCCTATTATATAACATGGAACGTTACATTCATATATGCCATCTTTATTTAATCTTATATGTAACCATCACTGCCACCTTTTATCAACTTTTTGATTAAATATAAAAAGTTTTGCAACCACATGCCCCAGATACTCACATAACCATAACCCAATCCCATATAATAGCAACCTTGTAGCCAGTCCTGTACTAGGCTAACCTTATCTCTGTACATACTGATAACTTTTAAAGTAGATCTGCACGATGATAATTTTCTGTTATTTTTAATCAAATCCCATATAATAGCAACCTTGCAGCCAGTCCTGTACTAAGCTAACCTTATCTCTGTACATACTGATAACTTTTAAGGTAGATCTGCATGATGATAATTTTCTGTCATTTTTAATCCAATCCTTGATAATAGCAACCTTTTAGCCAGTCCTGTACTAAGCTAACCTTATCTCTGTACATACTGATAACTTTTAAGGTAGATCTGCATGATTATAATTTTCTGTCATTTTTAATCCAATCCCATATAATAGCAACTGCAGCCAGTCCTGTACTAGGCTAACTTTATCTCTGAAAATACTGAAGCCTTCTAAGGTAGATCTGCATGATGATAATTTTCTGTCATTTTTAATACAATCCCATATAATAGCAACTTTGCAGCCAATTATGTACCAGGCTAATCTTATCTCTGTACATACTGATAACTTTTAAGGTAGATCTGCATGATAATAATTTTCTGTCATTTTTAACCCAATCCTTGATAATAGCAACCTTGTAGCCAATCTTGTACTAAACTAATCTTTTCTCTGTACATACTGATAACTTTTAAAGTAGATCTGCATGATTATAATTTTCTGTCATTTTTAATCCAATCCTTGATAATAGCAACCTTGCAGCCAGTCCTGTACTAGGCTAACCTTATCTCTGTACATACTGATAACTTTTAAGGTAGATCTGCATGATGACAATTTTCAGTCATTTATATGTCAGCAATTACAAATCAATGAAATGTGTAATGTTTGTAATTTTAATGTTAATGTTTACATTATGTGGTAAAATACTTTGTTTCAGGTATGCTAGTCTCGGATTTTTTGAAGTTAAAATAATTTGAGTATATTATGTTCTTGCTCAGTTTCTTGCTAGTGCAGAACTAAACAAAAAGATGAAAAAAGACCTCTTTGACCTTGAGAAGGTCATTTGACCTTGAGAATGTCATTGAAGGTCAAATCTATAGTCATATTTGAACTTTTGAGAACTTTTAGATGATTTTGAAAAAAATTGGTCAATTTGAAGCAAGGTGAAAAAATACCGTTTTGACCTTGACAAGGTCATTGGAGGTAAAATATTTTTGACCTTAAGAATGTCATTGAAGGTCAAATCTATAGGCAGATTTGAACTTTTGAGAATTTGTAGATGATTTTGAAAAAGGAAATTGGTCAATTTGAAGCAAATTTGAAAAAGACCTTTTTGACCTTTTTGGCCTTGACAGTATTTGTTAAGTTATTGACAGTTGTTAGAATTTGTTACAGACGCCGATCCTAAACCGCCGTCAAAAACGGAGACCATAACAATATGTCCCCACTTTTTGCTGGTGACATAATTGTGTATATCATTAGATTAAGTAATGAAAATAAGTTATAATTTCGTATTCATAATTGTAAAGATAAATAAACATATAATAGATGTTATGAAATATATAGTTTTTTGTTATTAATTGAAGTATACATATTCATCTCCCTCATTAATGACTTTTAATGTGTGCACGAGGTAACATTCAAATGAGAAAAATAGTTTGTATTTCGTTATTTCGTTTTGGCAATATATTACTGAACGGCTTCATTTAAAAGCTAAATTTCACGGGTGGGATTGAATCATTTTGTCAATTGGCCGGAGCAAGACATTTTACTTAGAAATAGATATATTTAGCACAATAGCAAAGCTCGATATCTTCTTCAATTTTGAGAAAATAAAGCACTCCATGCAATTGCTATTTCATTCATAGTTTTGTAGGAATTCTGTTGGAACCCAGTTCTGATCAAATATAAGACGAAAGATCAATTTTCTAAGCAGTTAATCTATCAACTTGTAAATCGGATATTACATTTTACGAAGAATGGCGGCCAATTTGGATTAAGCGGCCATATTGGTAATATAAGGCATTAAACTATAAAATTTGAACCAAACTGTCCACTGGTCCTGACAAACAGACGGACGGCTTCTGTATATCCCTACGAATTTGTTCTGTGGGATAGTTATAGCCTAAGTGTAAATCCAATATATTTTATCATTGATAGAATGTTTAACGTGTTAAGACGTCCATTTAGTTCTACTTTTCTATTTTTCGCATGCCAGAATGAAAGTGCTTTGCTAGACCCATACCAAACTCGTTCTCTCTTAACTTCATTAATTTTCATTAAATCTGAAAATTCTCGTAGCTCTAAACCTCAAGACCTTCTATAATTATCTACTTACAGACAATAGGGTGTGGTCTTTAATTGCATATTCTGATGATATACAGTCAGGTAGAACCGAAGTACTGTAGTAGTCATAGTCAAAGAATCAACTCTAATTAAAGCCTCAGTCACGTTTGTTTCGTACTGCTCATCCCTGTTTTATGCTGCATATTTATCTCGATTTTTGGAAGCTATGAGAGCCGTACGGTTGTTGTAGATCAAATGTGAATGAGGCATTAAACAGTCAAGATACAGTAAAAAATTCACAAAGAATATTTCCATTAATAACAGAACTAGTGTCTTGTGTACAAATGAGTTTATTTTACAGTATTGACAATACACAACATTGAGACGTAAATCTTAACTGGATTAGTTTTTAGTTGATTAGTTTTTCCTGGGGACTTTGATGTTAATGAAGCCTCTTTACAATTACAAGACAGCATCAGTGTAATGAGTAAAGAGACTTTATGAACACCTTGTATATTGATGAAGTTCAAATTGGTGAGTTTTTTAATATTTTATGGATAAAACCATGTGCTGAAGTTACCAGAATTCCATCAAGTCTCAGAGGTTTAAGCCAACAGTATTCAATTTCTCTATAATAGATGGGCATAATTTCTTGAATAGTGAAGAACAAAAAAAGCATTGTGAAATTTTGAAAATGGATGTACTTTCTCTGGTGAATAATCTAATGGGAAATATCTGTAATTGTGTTCTATATATTTAATAACCCCTACGTTTTTCAACTCATTATGACAAATTGAAATTTGCAGTCAATGGACTTCATCACTAACCTTCTTTTCTGAAAGTATCAAAGATTCAGAAATCTCACCTAGTATGCAGTATGACAAATCGTTCCAAAACTGGAGAATCTGCCCGCACATTTTTTCATTTTCAAAAGGGGTTTTGATCATTACTTTACATGTTTTACTGTACTTCCCAATTGGCTTTCATTTCCATCAAAAGACCGTAACGATGACAATTGTGATATTTTGAGAGAGTGAATCGTACAGCTGGACATTTTTACTTGAGAATGTTTACAGCTAACACTTGCTCATCATTCAAACTGCAATGCCATCTTTATACTTGATGAAACCTTGTGCAATATACGAAACATGTAATAATTACAATGAAATTACTTAAAACAATTGAATTAACACAACTGATCACTCAATTTAACTTAACTTCATATTCAATAAAAAAACTTCTATTTGTGAAAAAATACACTCAAATAACTTCAAATTGTTAAGTAATTTCTCTGAAAAATCTTCGATGAAATTCTGTAATTTCTGTGAACTATAACATTGAAACTTCTTCTCGATCGCTCTTTCCACAAGGAAAACAGATGAGAGGTTCTATTTCCTAAACAACACTAAATGTTCACTGTTTTGTCAAAAACGTTTCTGTGAAGTCTTTCAATAGATTATTGATAAATGGTCAAAGTTGTTTGCAAAATGATCAGAAAGACGAGGATTATGGTAACTTATCAAATCTGAAATGATATCGTGAAAATGATTCCTCTAATCATAGTCACTTGCATTTTAATCACTATCACCAGACAAGTGATGACAATTGTTTGTTCATAATTACAATCACTTATCAAATGATAATGATCACTTTAATGACCATTCATCTCACCTAATGACCAGAATCACCTGTTAAATGATCATAATCACTTCTAAAATGATACCAATCACTCTAATAATGATCATTATCATTTTTAAATGATCATAATCACTTCTAAAATGATACCAATCACTGTAATAATGATCATAATTATTTATAATTGATCATAATCACTTCTAAAATGATACCAATCACTTATCAAATGATCATAATTATTTAAAAATGATCATAATCACTTATAAAATGATCATTTGCATTTTCTAAATTATTATAATCACTTATCAAATGATCACATCACTGCAATGATCTTAATCACTTATTGCATTTCATTAATCACTTGGCCTTTTTTCACTGTACTTTTTCGTATAGTCCTCGGCACTCTTTAAATATAATTTTTTGTTCTTTGTATACTCCTCAGCTATGTCTCCCCTGAGAGGATGTTCTGGTTCGGGTTCATTCACCAGAGAAACCAGTGCCTGGATAACTGCAAGTAACATACTATTTGTTAGTACCTAAGTCTAAATGCTTAATTTTAGTCCATTTCATTCGGTCCAGAAATGATGAATATTTTTTGAGCACATTCTTCAACTTTTAAATCAAAAATTTGAGCAGAATTTTTAGGTTACATATGGTAAAATTAATACATTACATGTAAAAATTAATTTTCTACAAGATGGACTTAAATCTGGAGGCTGAATCTGGGTTATTTTTTCCTTGTATGGGGCTAGTTTACTCCCCAGTGGGGCTCTCTCCCAAGAGAAGAATGTTCCGAAGAAAACTTTTCGACCTGGCTTTAAACTTTTTAATCTGACCTTGAACTTTTACATTGACCTTGGACTCACCTTGATCTGTCTTAGTAGCGGGCTTCCAGTTTTCGGGGCTGATAATAGGCAGACAGACCTGACCCTTCTCATCAATATTTGGATGGTATATTTTTGTTTTAAATGTGATCTTTGGGGGCTTGAAGGGGTATTCTGCGGGGAAGTTGATCTCAATACGGAATGCGCCTTTATTGTATGGGGGCTGATCCTAAAAATAAATTTAAATACATGTATAATTTGTTCATCGTATGAAGAAGGTTTTTTATCTCTCAATAATAATTACACACCTTTATTATATGGGGCTAATTCCTGGATCTTTCTATTAAATAAATAAAATGTAGTTTGCAATCCTTTGTATAAGCTTTTAGGGTTACTCTTTAACCTCTTGACTACTTAGAATGACCTTGAAACCCAGAGTGACAAGAAAATCCGTCACAAAATTGTTCACTAGAATTGCTCTTATTTGAACAATTTTCATCCAATTTACACAAAAATTGTTTTGAAATGTGTAGAAATGATCTCTGCCATCTAATTTTACAAAGTTGGGCATCTAAAGTTGTGTAAGTATGTAGTAAAATGTCAAACGGTGGCAAAAATGAAAAAATTATCTGGTTTCAACAGAATTTAGAGCCTGGGATTCAAGAGGTTAAAATGATATTGTTCTAATCATTTCAAAACATTGTTTTAATGATCATTTCTTGCATGTGGGAGTACCGACATAGCCTACTCTATTCCCGTTAATTTTCGTTTGTTACTATATCTCGCGCTATTCAAAATTCGAAAAGTTCTTATTCTAAAAGAATGTAATTCAATGAATGAATATTCTCAAAAAAATGTCTCAAGATGAAGCCAAAATCTTTGGGTGAAGGAAAAGCATGGCTGATATTGAATTGGAGAGCAATATCCATCAAGGTGAAGCGGGACACATTTTGTCACATATCCACTAAAAGTAATAGCCATGAAATTTAAAAAACTGAAAGCAACACAATTTCCAAATCGTGAAAACATGAAATATAGCGTCAAATATTAGTTGGAGTAGAGTAATTGTTTTTTACCTTTATATATTATATGAAAATGACTTACTGGAGTAAGAAGTGCCTGCCAGTTTAGAATATTGGATTCATCGACTTTAATGTCTCGGAAAGAGGGCATTGCCGCCTTTCGAATGTCACCTAACTCCTGTAAATAAATCAGAGCAAATACGTTAATAGGTCATGTAGGTAAGTCAATCTTACCTTATAGGCAGTGTATGCCCTAAGGATCTGAGAGCTGCTGGCCAAAATGGCATTACTGACCAGTTGCAATTATTTTCCTAAACCAGTAACCCAGTAAAAAAATCGACTGGTCCATAATGGCAATGGTAATGACCAGTGGATCTGCTCTTAGGACATACATTGCCCGTACCTAGTGTAGGCCTTCATTGTAATATCAGGCACAAAAGAGTTATTCTATGTAGAATAACCAATGGATTGTCACTTTTGTAAAATCATGTTTTTTTCCTTTAAATACATAAAAACAATAAAACAACAACCATGACAACAAGGTTTTCTTATTGTTTTTTTACAACTAATTGCCCAAAAAACAGTTCATTACTCTTGCTTCATTGAAATAAATAGAAAAAGAATGTAATTCATTGCCTAAATAGATATACAGCATACACTACATCAACATAATGTATACATAATTGTTGTTGTTGTTGTTGTTTTTATCATAGTACATTTTACAACAAAGATTTTTATAAAAAGCTGCAGAAGCAAACATTTGCTGGAATTACACCACAAAATCCGCTAAAACGTTTTAGTGGAAGACGCTTTACAAAATCGCCATTCTGATGACACCTGCATTTCTAAAGCGTCTTAGGATTTATATATTGGAATTACACCTGTTTTTTCTAAAACGTCTTTCGTGCACTTTTAACGATGTAGTTATGGATAACATCCAGCATACATGTATGTGTACATCTCCTGTAAATGTATTTTTTGCATCTAAGACAAAACTGATCTTCCATAATTTGATTAGAAATGCATGACATTGCATAATTTTTATCTTTTATTAATTATGAGAAAACATAATAAAAGGTGAAAGAAAAATATGTACATATTCTCTGAAGATAACACTTGATTTCGATGTGACCTGGCGACCATTATCCATTTTTCAATTTAGATATAGCCAGATAGCAGCGTGACCGGATGTCTCATCATGTATCAAATGTATCAAATATTTCGTTTAGGGAAAATGTTAAAAACTAGTAAAAACCCCGGTAAGGCGTTTTACAAAAACCGATCGGTATTACACTGCACACTTAAAACGCCTAACGACTTATGCCGTTTACTAGTGACAAGGGTTCTTGGAGTTTTAGAAAAGCGCTTTTGTAAAACCGCAATCGTGATTACACCTAATTCTTAAACCTGGTTAAAACCGAAGAAGCTTTTGTAAAACGCCAGGTGTAATTCCAGCAATTTTTGGCAGTGAGTTATATGAAAAAAATAAAAATTGATACATATTGTGCAATGATATTTTCATGTATACATAATGGGAATACATAAATATAATATTTGTTCAGTGAAGCTAATAGTGTCACTGTGCACAGTGTGTGACATTATATGTGATTTTACTGGTTTATGATTGATAAGTCTCCCATCTCCATATGTGTCCAGTTGTGTGTACAAAGTCACACTGTAAAGTGAACTGTGCCCTATTATAATATTGTATCATTTCATGTGCTATTTTTCTTGCACAATCTTATGAACTTAGTAGTATAAATTCCAGGGTTTTTCACAGTTTACACCACACAGACTACTCAGTAAAACCTGGAAAGTGGAACACCTCTGTAAGTGCAACATCCCCATAAGTGGAACATTTTCAAAGTACCACAACCTATTGACTTGTTATTAAATGGACCTGTGTAAGTGGTACACGCCTTTAGAGGTACCTAAGGTGTTCCACTTACACAGGTTTACACCTTACTTGTCTTTCCATTTTCATGCTAAGTTGCATGTTTCATTTTACCTTTGCCAATGCCATACATGTTCTTTTTGAGATATTTACCATTGCGGTCACATAAGACCTTTTTCAGATATTAGCATTGTCATGTCACATCAGATATTGCTGGTTTTTAGCATTGTTACTGTCACATCAGGCTTTTTGTTAAAATTTTGCATTGTCAAGGTTGTACTTCTGTAGACATTTTGCTGTTATATTGCTGGCATGGTCGCATCCAACTTTTTACTGGTATTAAATATATAGCATTGTCAAAGACGTGCTGGTATATTACACAGGCTGGTATCGAAAGATTTGTCTGCTGTGACGGAGCATGCAGTTTTTTCATAAAAACACAAAGACAACTTCACAATTTATTTTTGAACTCTTACTCCATGCAATGGATATTTCATTTGCTTGTAACCTTCACTTATATTAGAAGTCCAATAATGCTAGGAGGAAAAGCCATTTAAAACGGTGCCAGAGTATCATACTCTAAAATAATACCATTTCTTTTTAAATTTTTTAATGACGTAGTATAGTGACACAAATAATATTTACATATGTTTTCAGAATAACGCTGAATGTTTGAATGAGATCTAGATATATCGGGTGACGGTCTTCTTAATTTTTCTATAAAAAAACATTTTTATATTTTTTGTCTGCTTTGATGGAGCAATTTCACAGTTCACATTTGCAACTGCGCCGTCACAGCATGGGCTTTCTCTTGCCCTACTAGGAGACAATAGAGTGACAACAATTGTCGGTACCCAAGCAAATACTCATTGGGCAGTCTCCAGCACCGACGACACAGGCTGGTATCGAAAAATTTGTCCGCTGCGGCGGAGCATGCTATTTTGCATAGAAACACTATGAAATCCACACAATTTATTTTTTTTGCTAAATCAAAGAAAATTACCTACTCCATGCAATGGATATACCATTTGCGGGTAACTTTGCTTCTGTTTGAAGCATGATACTCCAGCGCTGTTTTCAATAGCTTTTACTTTTAGCATTGTTGGACTTCAAACAGAAGTTAAAGTTACCTGCAAATGATATATCCATTTCTTTGGTATAGCGAAACATATGAGTAATAAAAAAATAAGTTGTGTGGGTTTCTTGGTGTTTCTATGCAAAATAGCAAGCTCCTTTACAGCGGACAAATTTTTCGATACCGGCCTGTGGGTACGGGAGACATTCTGAAAAAACAAACATTAATTTTTATAAAAAAATTAAAAAGACCCACTACATCAATATCTCATTTAATGAGAAGGTAATGAAGGTATTAATACCTTCAGAGTTATACCTTCAGAGTTATGCTGAAAACATATGTAAATATTATATTGTCACTATATTGCATCATTATCTAAAGTCAGGGACATTAATAAACTTCAACCATCAAAAGTTGTCAGTTTGAGCTAAATTCTAAGTTTCTCAAACTCTCCTAATCGGTAGAAAAATAATTCCCCTTAAGTTTCATACCTGCAAATGATGGATAAATTCCTACCAAATCGAATGAATATTTGTTTTCATGAATCGCCGTGTTTGTGATCCAAGGAGGATTGCCTCCCAAAATGCAAAATCACTTAAGGTGCTATGGAAGTTAACAGGAAATGACAAAACAGGAAGTGACAATTTTTTTTGCATTTTTAGATATTTTTTGAATAAAGATAACAGAGTTCTGGTTTGACCTCCAGTCAATTTAACTATTTCCACATATCATTTACATGACCAGGATCACAATGTGCATGGTCAGAATGACCCTAAACATGATGAAATAACCTTTTTAGCCCTTTGAAAGTGTGACTGAAAAAAAGCTAAAAGTAGGAGCGTAGGGAAGGTCACTGAACAGAATCTTTTGAATTTTTCAGAAAAAGTGCCCAATATATTGCTCTAAATGATACAATCTTTGAAAATTTGATATCATTCATAGAAAAAGAAAAAAAAATGAAAAAACTGATTTGAAAAGCGATCTATTTTCCTTTTTATGACCGCCATTTTTGTTTGAGACAATTTTCTAAAATTTCAAAGATTGTACTAGTAAGAGCATTATATTAGGCACATTTTCTGAAAAATTCAAAAGATTCTGTTCAGTGACCTTCCCTACCCTCCTACTTTTAGCTTTTTTTCAGTCACACTTTCAAAGGGCTAAAAAGGTTATTTCATCATGTTTAGGGTCATTCTGACCATGCACATTGTGATCCTGGTCATGTAAATGATATGTGGAAATAGTTAAATTGACTGGAGGTCAAACCAGAACTCTGTTATCTTTATTCAAAAAATATCTAAAAATGCAAAAAAAATTGTCACTTCCTGTTTTGTCATTTCCTGTTAACTTCCATAGCACCTTAACATTATTTACTCGTGACAGGTTTCAAAATGGCGGAACAGCATTTTGAAAGCTGGCAAGTTTCATGTTGCATTCTGGGAGCCAATCCTCCTTGTGGCGTAATCGGGCTCAAAAATCACCTTAACATTTGAATCAACATGTGAATATCCACTTCAAATTTTTAAGTTCCTATTTTGTCATTATGGACTCAAATTCCATAATATTTGGACTTACACTAGGACGGAGAAAATAGAGCACTGAATTTATTACATGTGCGATGGCATGTATTTTTCATAGCTATAGTAATTCTTAATGTTCCCCACTGTTGCTTTTCCTCCTAGCATTATGGGACTTCAAACAGAAGTGAAAGTACGCAGCAGACAAATCTTTCAATACCAGGCTGTGATTTAGCATTGTCACCGTCGCATCAGACTTTTTGCTGCCTGGTATTTAGAAATTGCAACAGTCACACTTATTTTGTCCGTTTTACTGGTGTGGTGTAAAGCAGATTAGTTATCACAATGCAATGAAAATCATCAACTGGTGTTTCAAAGCTCGGGCTAGTCCGAGTTAACTTTTCAGAGGTCTTGAGAACGGGAAACTTGCGCCACTATGCTGCATTTGGTTATAAAACATTTTATATGTCTTTGATTTGGTGTTAGCAAACCACTTCCGGATCGCCGAATTTATTTTCATTTCACCGGCTGAGGGAAAATAGCTTTATCTACTTCAATACAAAACTCACTGTATCAAAATTACACCAAATTATACCTCATATATTCGGCATTTATAAAACAACATCAACAACGGCTTATATTCATGTTAACAGTTTAAAATAAGACTTTATCTTACCTTGGTTAGTCTTCTCGTTGCTGCCATTTTGTTATTTCTGACGTCACTGAGAGTGCCATCTGGTAGTGAGAACAGGTAACTTACCCGGAAGTAAACAAGAAACTGGTTTTGGTAAATATCTGTTTTCCCATGAATAGAACACTTTCTTGCATATGTGGACGCTTTATTGACAAATAAGTAGTAATACAATAGCACTGTCTTATTTTTAGACATGACTTGCGATCAATTATTCACTTAGAAGTCCATGACATTCTTATCTAGATGTACTTATATCTGATAGGCCTAATAAAGTGAAATTGATGACATCATCGCAGGAAATTGCACCAGCATCACAGAATTGCACAAAAGCTTAAGAGGGGAATATTGTAACATGTAATTCCTAAGTGAGCCGTGGTCTAGTGGCTAATTCATATGAGCCTGAAGCATAGGGAACTGACCTACCTAACCCTGGTTCAAATCCAGGGTGGGTCACTCCACTAGACTAATTCTACACTCACTTTTTGTTTTTTGTTTGAAAACAGCATACATGTACATGTGATTTTATTTATGTGCAATTATACATATACCTATTTTCAGGTTCATGGATGATTGACACAAAAAGTAACTGTCAAACCCGCCGTACTAAATGCGTTCCATTTAGATAGGTTTTAGTGTATCATACATGTATGTATAACAAGTTCATCCTCTCAGTGTACACTATGGGTGCTATATTATGCAGTCTTTTAATCCGGACACCACCAAGGCTAACCCTTGAGTCTCAATACAACCTCCCTCTACCAAGGACCATCCATAAAACATTAAGTCGGGACATTATACAAGGAAAAAGAGTATTTGTTGTTGGAGACATTCATGGTTGTTATGATGAATTTATCGAACTTGTCAAAGTTGCAGATGCCAATGTCGATAAAAAAGAAGACATTTTGATTATCTCAGTTGGGGATGCCATCAACAAAGGACCTAAAAACATCAAAGTTTTGGATTACATTATTGCTCGAAAAAACACCATTTTTATGGTAAGAGGTAACCATGAGGATGGATTACTGCATGAATACTACAAACATATCGCAAATGATTCATACCAAATCCGTAAAAAATGGCAGTGGATTTGCGACCTCAAAAAGGAACATATAGAATTCATATCTGAATTACCATACACATTCTCCATCCCTGATTTGAATGCGATAATTGTTCATGCGGGATTAGTCCCAGGGGTGCCACTGACTGAACAACATCCTATAGATATGACACTTATGAGGAATATTATAGACTATGAAGGGATTAATACAAGAGGTACCGAAAAAACAAAACAGGGTATGCAATGGGCACGATTATGGTCAGGCCCAGAACATGTATATTTTGGTCATGACGCTAGACGCCGTTTACAACAATTTAAATATACAACAGGGTTGGATACTGGTTGTGTTTATGGTGGTAGTTTAACAGGGGTCTATCTCACTGGCTCTCAGGAAATGTTCTCAGTGAAACCAAAAAATGTTTATCAACCTGTACAGTAGACTAAACAGTTAAGTCAGTCTATGGAACACCAACAGGAGGGGGGGGGGGGCGTTATCAAAATAAGGCACAGAGGACTGAAAAGTAGGGTTTTAGAATTCATGGATTTATGATGATGACAACCATTACCAGTTCCACTAAAAATACCTCACTTGACAAAATTAATATCTATTTATAATATTTTTTATTTCTTCAAATGCTATTTTATCAAGCATCCAGGCCTACATGTAAGTACAAAAAGATGTATTTAACAAATAGATTAACAATAGTTTGGAATCACTTCTTCCAGCAATCTGCCCCAAAGGATAAGTCTAGCTACAAGCCCTTGTGACCCCAAACACTCACCCCGAGATTCCCTGTGTGAGGTGTGTAGTCAAGTAGAATGGGGGGGGGGGGGTGGGCTTGTAGCTTGACAACCAAAGGATTAATCTTTTTCAAACTGTCAATGCAAAATAAATATTATCCAATTCTTGGATCTTTATTGGTATCCTTATACTCAAACAAAACAATGGGTGATGCCCTAACATACAATCAATCCCTATTCCCTATTGCTATCTTTAAATTAATTTCTGATGTGATGACTATAAAATTAGAGAATTAAGAAACTTACAAAAAGTGTTTCATAATTTTCCTTGAAGATTTTTTACAATGGCGATATAATTATGGATGAGATTCTGTTATTAATCAATATTCTATTTATATTTAAAAACACATGTGGCATTTAGAAAATAGAAAGAAGGTGTTTTCAAGTCAATACCTTGTCAAGTTGTCACATGTATCATTCAGCAGCATTGATCGTCACTACCCGGACAATTATCTGGTCACAATTATCTGGTGACAAATACCTGGCGATCGACAACTGTCTGGTGACAGTTATCTGGTGACAAATACCTGATGACAAATACCTGGTGACAATTATCTGGTGACAAATACCTGGCGACAACTGTCTGGTGACAAATACCTGATGACAAATACCTGGTGACAATTATCTGGTGACAATTACAAGTCTTGTACTAAAGTGTAACAATTGTTACAGATAATACATGCATTATCAAATGTCCATCTCACTAAAAATCAATTGCCATAACAATATGTGAAGGATGGCTTACACATATTTTGGCTCAATTATCTTATTACAGTTTTTCAATAAATATCTGAAAGGTGTCTTCTCAGAATATGATAATTGTTTTCAAATTCCCAGAATTTCATTTCGAACTTGACTCTTCTCTGTGCATCTGGGAAGTGAGAAATAAAATTCTGTAGTACAAAACAATTACAAATGGAAATAAAATATTTACTATTGTATTCATTAGTATTATGTACATTATGTAACAATTAATTTAGTAATGTACAGTAAAACCTGTATATAGTGAACACCTATTGAGCCCAAAAAGTGTCTGGTGTAAGCAGGTCTTCACTACAGATGGGGATTTTTACACAGATGTTAATGTAAAATGTGTATTGAAGTGGTGTTCACTTAGACAGGTTTTACTGCAGTACAGCATAGAAAGTTGGAAGCCCAAACTTAATTTCACTTAAGTCTAAGTTGATTTCAATTAAAGATTTAGAAGGGAATAGCAGAGAGTAAAATGTATGAAGTATAAAAAAAATAATACCATTGGATTGAAAAATGGATGAAAGGTTAACAGGTGTTTCACTAGAATTTCTCACAAGAGGCTAAATAAATGAAAACAACAGGCAAAATTAATGGAAATCATAAATTTAAGATGGAAAAGTTGAAAAGTCCCTAAAAACAACAGGCGATTTTGTGAAAACAATGGGTGAAAATTGCCTGTTGCCTGCTGCTAATGAAACCCCTGAGATAACCCCCATTGTATTACCTTTAAACAGTCAGAATTGTTACTCTCTTATTCCCTTCCATTCCTTTTAATAATCAAGATTAATATGTTTGATTTTTACTTGATTAACTCTTGTATCACATCTTTAGCCCCCTCTCCATTTATTTCCCTTTGTTGCCAAAGCCTTGTTACAAGCTCAATTCTCTTTTACAAAAATGTACTGCTAATTTTCAAAAACATCTTTTGATTTTGTTTACAAACTTTCTCACCTATCGAGGATAACCTCGTAATGTAGTAGTAATTATACTCTAGCGTCTTCCTTTCACCAAAAGGGTTTAATTGAAAAGGTATTTTCCTCTATTTTCACATGAACTTTTCTACAACTCTATTAGGAGTTACAAACCTCTACAACATTTTTTCAAACTTATAAAATGGAAGACATCTTATTTAGCACTTCAGTCAGGGTTTGAAACTCACAGCTGCCTGACTGCCAATGGAACCACTGACTGCCAACGGCAACCATTGACTCCCAACGGCAACCATTGACTGCCAATGGCAACCACTTTTCTCTTTGGCATTGAACTTGGAAAATTGGTTACCCATTGGGTGATTGGAACTGAATGCCAATATGTTTATTTGTGGCAATCATGTTTAAACCCTAGTCAGTAACCTTGCATTCGGTCTAATGAGGGTTTGAATATATACTAAAACACAACCTTAAAGGTATCCAGGTGGTCTTTCCTATGCAACCTAACCAGCTACAATCCTTAATTATTGTAGCTAGCTGGTATATACACAAATGATGATTCTGAGTGTTGCCATGGTGATTACTCTAAACACTGTAGTCTTCATTGAGCGTCCCATATAAGTTGATTACCATAATCATAAGTGGCGTTAGTCCCAATGACTTAAAGTGTTTTAACTCAAACTCTGGTGTCCTATTGGTTAGATTCTCAGGGCAAAGTTGTTTGAGTCCGAATGACTGTCCATCTGCCCTTGTAGTTTAAAGTTCAGATTCTTAAGTTCCAGTGATTTAAGTCCTCATGATTGAAATCCTAGGAAGTGAAGTCCCAGGGCTATAATTCCTCAAAGTATGCCACTCTTGCCCTACAAGTTCCCATTTTGATCTGAAAACAAAACCAAGAAACATTTTAAACCAATCTGTCACAAGTCCTGTCACAAACCCTTGAAAACAGTACATTTGGTTGCCTAAGGTTTTCTACATTATAACATATATATATTTTTTATATTCTTAGTTTAAGAACCTGTAAAATATGATTGGGTTCACATTAATAAGTCTAGTTTTAATGAACTGAATGGTACCAAAATACAGCCATTTAAGTCATGATTATTCTACTGCAAATAACCATGGCTATCAGAGAGCCATAAAATTGGCCCTTTATTAAATCTTACCTTATTCAATGTTTCATATTTGTTCACACCCTGATCTACATTCTCCTGGTGGATTCTATCAAGTGTGGTTTGATTTTCCTCCACTTTTAAAACTTCTATCTCATTCTTTAAGTCTTTAAGCTGCTCCTGTACAAGCTTGGATTTCTCAATGTATTCCACTCTGGAAAAATAGAGAAGTGTACCTTAAAATGAGAAATAGAGTGCTATGGAGAGAAATTGGCAAGGAATCCAGGCAAAAGAGAGTAACAAGTCTCAATATATAAATACAAAGGAGGATTGATTAATATTGAATATTAGAGTTCTCAGTATGTATCCAACTTTCTAGTATGAAAATATTGTGGCTAATCAATTATTCATTGATAAATCCTCTACACATTTACCAGTTTACTGACATACTCTCTAAATCATGGTTTTAGATTGGGAAAATGATTCCAAAATGGTGAAGGAGCGAAGTTTTTGAAACTTTTTATATGTTAACATTAGATCATTGTTTTGGAGTTGCTTCCTTATTTTCCTATTTACAAGGCAAGACCATGAAATCCTATAGAATTTAGAAAAGTACCAGACAAATGCACAATGCCAGACAGGCATTTACAGGCATTTAACCTCTTGAATCCCAGGCTGTAAAATTGGTTCAAACCAGAGAATGTTTCCTTTTTGCAACCTTTTGACATTTTACTACACACCTATACAACTTTAGATGCTCAGCCTAGTAAAAAAAATGTTTGTGTAAATTGGATGAAAATTATTCAAATTAGAGCAATTTTAGTGAAAATGTTTGTGAGGGATTTTCTTGTCACTCTGGGTTTTAAATAAGGTGACGACAAATCTCGTCACTCCAGGTAGTCAAGAGGTTAAGGTACCAATATGCTTGTATTTTGTAAATACAGTAGAACCTATTCTCTCGTGAACACCTCTCTTTAATGAACACCTGTCTCTTGAAGACAGCCTTCCTCCACACATCCTCTACTGACTTCTGTATAAATTACCCTCTCTGTAGTGAACAAATAGCAAAACTGAACTTTTTTCTCTGCAAAAAAGTTCAATATACATAGGTTATACTGTACATGATAAAAAAAGATGTGACAATGTACCATACCTTGATTTTTCAAACTCTAATGACAATCTGTCCACTTCCTCAATCTCAAAGTCGTGCCGAATATCATTATCATCTGATGTCAAGACAGGATCAATATCCAGGGAATTGTAAGTCATTGCACTATTTGTATTATATAAAGATGAGATTTGGCCCTGAAAATGTATAAATAATCAATGAATATCATTATCATCTGATGTCAAGACAGGATCAATGTCAAGGGAATTGTAAGTCATTGCACTATTTGTATTATATAAAGATGAGATTTGGCCCTGAAAATGTATAAATAATCAATGAATATCATTATCATCTGATGTCAAGACAGGATCAATGTCAAGGGAATTGTAAGTCATTGCACTATTTGTATTATATAAAGATGAGATTTGGCCCTGAAAATGAATAAATAATCAATGAATATCATTATCATCTGATGTCAAGACAGGATCAATGTCAAGGGAATTGTAAGTCATTGCACTATTTGTATTATATAAAGATGAGATTTGGACCTGAAAATGTATAAATAATCAATGAATATCATTATCATCTGATGTCAAGACAGGATCAATGTCAAGGGAATTGTAAGTCATTGCACTATTTGTATTATATAAAGATGAGATTTGGCCCTGAAAATGTATAAATAATCAATGAATATCATTATCATCTGATGTCAAGACAGGATCAATGTCCAGGGAATTGTAAGTCATTGCACTATTTGTATTATATAAAGATGAGATTTGGCCCTGAAAATGTATAAATAATCAATGAATATCATTATCATCTGATGTCAAGACAGGATCAATGTCCAGGGAATTGTAAGTCATTGCACTATTTGTATTATACGAGGGGTGATCAATAAGTAATGGACGCTTTTTTACACAGATACTTTTTATGGACCAATCCCAATCGGGAAAGTTGCCATTTTTCAACTTTCAGTTTCGAAACTTAATTTCATGCATCTTTTTGCGTATAGCAGTCGTTATACTGTTATAGGCTGTCCTTCGTTAAAAATAAGATACGGGAATAAACCTAAGGAAACAAAGAACTCTAGGAACTACCATTTTTTAACAGTGGACGTGTCTTTCCCTTGCGAAAAGCTCCGGGGTTTGCCGGCAACCGGGGGTTGGCAATTTGCCAGGGGCGAAAAAATTCTCTATGGGAATTTAACATAGGCCGCGGTCTGCTGTCGGGGGCATTTGGGGGCAATTGCCTAGGGCTAAACAAAAGAATTTCGGGGTTGCCAGGGTTGACGGGGTTGGCATTATTGAGTGCCGGGGTTATGACAAGGGTAGATTTTGGGGGCATTTTGTGGTTAAAATTATGCCGGGAGGCTGCCGTGGGCCTGCCAGGGGCAGTAAAAATGATTTTAAAAATTAGAAAATCTCACCTCAATGCAAGTCAATTTTGTTTGAAATGCCTATTCTAATGTATGAACATTATTTTTTCAGAAAAATTGTACAGTGTACCCGTTATTTCAGACCACGGCTATGACGGCTAAAGTTCATGCAATATTAAAACTATCTCTTACATATTGAAATTAATGGTATACATCCACATTGGATTAACATTATATTAGGAATGTCAAGGTTTCCTGATATTATCCCTCAGGACTTTGACATCATTATCAAATAAAAATAAAAATAGTACCATGGGTACTGGGCTCACATGGTGTTGCTCAAAAGTGAATGATGGCTAAAATGACAACAATTAAAAAAAACGGATAATTTTTTGCCAGCTTTTTGTAACGAAATTATTTTATACAGCTACTTTTTACAAAGACATGACTTTTTACAATGCAGGACACGTGGAATTATTTGTAAAGCTAGGAAATGGGCCAAAAGTGGATTTTGTGAGACAAAAATGGGAGCCATTTTGAAAATAGGTGTGCTTTTGAACCAAGAGTTTTTTGTATTGATGTTGAACAAAAATAACTTAAAACTGGAATCCTATCGATCGAGGTTTTACGGCAAATGGTCAAAAGAGGATTTCGCGAGACAGATGGACAAATCAATGTTAACCAAATGGCTGAAAATAAAAAAAATGGATATAATTTTTTGCCCATTTTTTGTAACAAAATTATTTCATACAATTACTCTTCCCATTGACATGGATTTTTACAATGCATGACACCTGAAATTATTTGTAAAGCAAGGAAATTGGTCAAAAGTGGATTTTGCGAGACAAAAATGGCGGCCATTTTGAATCAGGAGTCATAGGGGATTTTTCTGTATTGATGTTGAACAGAAATAACTTAAAATGGGAATCCTATCGACAGAGGTTTTAAAACGTGGCACTATTGTTGATGGATGGATGCGCGGACGGACACATGGACAGACAGACGGACAAGTGAGTGATTGCAAAAGCTCACCATGTGAGCTAAAAAGTTGAAGCTAGAAATCATTTTAATCCCCCATGTTAGGGAATATTGGAACTCTGCAGACAATGACAGACATTGTTTTACTGAACTTCACTAAATAGATTTAGTAAATCAGTTTTTCTTACATTTTCAACCTTTATAAATGAACTATTATTAGGATATGTTCTGTAATAGAATTTAATTGTTCAGTACAAGAAAAGATATTTCAATTTTAAAGAAAATAAAAATTGAAAGTTGATCAATAATTTTTAAAACTTCATTTCTCGATGCGATTTTATGATGTCACTTTGACATTTCAAATGACTTTTAAATGATGAAAATCAAGCTTATTTCTTCTTGCATCTTGTCTATTGAATGGTGGCATTTGGTTACATGTACTTGAATTCTCGAAATCGTTGTTCCCTCTTCAAAAGAGGAGAAGCGAAAATCTTTCCTTATAAGGTCAAACTATTTCCCATGATGCAGTTCGCGGAGGAACAAATTTATACTTCCTTGTTTTCCCTCATAGGTTTAACATGGGGATTTTCACACCTATTTTTCAAACGATATATTCGTTCATATTCCCGTACGAATATGACCGGGCTTTCTTTATATTAAATGTACACAATAGTGTGATGTTTTAATTTCTATCTTTTATTTATTTCACTTGTTTTCACTTCTAATCTACTGCTAAATCTAGTTATGTCTTTTTGAAGTCTAGGCCGAAAGTGCTCTAAATCTCACATGGCATATAGTATATTCTTCAAAACCAGACATCACATGATCACTTCAAATCTGTTATGTAAAAAGTTTAACAATAGGAAGACTGCTTCAAATCCTAATTAGAATCCAAGATATAGAAATGTAAATTAAATGTAAATTAAAGAAACATTTGTAAGTCTGAAGATGCTCTGAACAATTGTAATGATTGCATATTTAATGTGAGAAACTGACCAGAGATATCCCAGGTGTACTACATGACCTGTTGTTTATCTAAATGCTTTTTGTATCATGTTTCCATTAATTAATTTACAAAGTAAAAACATAGTAAAAGTATAAGATATTAATTATAAAATACAACATGAAAATCACTCCGTCACATTTGCTTCTCCTCCAAAGAATGCGTCCCGCATTCTAAATGAAAATCACTCCGTTTAATCAGTCCAAGTTAAAAATATATAACCTGTAATGTTAAATTCTATTAAAGTATAAAATATGTTAAATGTTATATCAACGTCCAACGTTGATGTCATCGCCCAATGTTGATGTCATTGCCTGGAGATGAGGAGTGTCATATTGTCCTTCCTTCCTGAAGTAAAGTCACATTGTTTATAATATTAATTGTTGCACTATCAGAGTTAATATAATTCAGCATCATTTTCATTAATCAAGAAATTCATCATATTAGAAGATTAATAACTCCTCCATAAATTTTTGAGGCCATAAGTCTACCAACTTTCAAATTGTCTGCTAGCAATTCTTATTTTAAGCAATTTAGTGTTCAGAGTGGTCGCATATATATATATATATTTTTAAACACCTATTTGTATACTCTACTTTACAATTTACATACTGTTTATCTAACTAAAATCATCATAAACTACCATAATAATTATTAAACTCAATAAAACAATTATAAATAGGACAATTTCTTTGTGAAAATACCCAAACTGTAATTAACAACCAACAAAGGTAATTGATCACTCATTATGCACCAGCACAGAATTTCACGTGATGATTCTGTTGCCAGTAAAAACTTCAACTTGGCACAATCCAATCCTGTATTTTCTTGAGTTAAAAATTACAATCATATGTAAAGGAGAAAAAAAATCTTTTATGGCCTATTATAACCATATCTAGTTAAAAGTAACTTGCACTAAATCCTACCTTTCTACTAAGTTTTGTTTATAAACACTGTTAATGATGCACATCATAATTGTTTGTGCAAACTTTATCTGTACCATAATACTTTGGTATATGACCTTTGTCTGGCACATTTAAATAATAATGAGAAACTCACATTGATGAAGTATAAGAGAAGTAAGGCAAATAATCCCTTGCAATTGAACTTCTTAAACAATGTAAACTGACTGTAGCAGTCCATGAATTCAATTTAAGTTGTACATAGATATTTAATTTAGGATTAATTAATTATATATTTTGAACAATTAAGATTATTATAAGTTGTCATTCTCAAATTAACTGGTCCCAATTAGTGTCTAGCTCCCAGGAAGTAGTTTGCACCCAGTAACTATATTTACCAGAAGGCACTATACTAAATATTAGTAAATAATCCTAACACTTTATTAGTTTACAGGTTAAGACATCTAAAAATATTAGCAGGGTTGGCCATGCAATGTTGACACTTTTATTTTGGCCCACTATATCTTATCCTTTTTCCTTAGGATTTCACTTGAACTACATTTCTTTCACTTTCACTTGGACTACATTTGTTTTACTTTCACTTGAACTACATATGTTATTCTAACTAACACTTCTACACACTATATGTACTACATGCTTATGTCAGAACTTGGACTTACCTTACTGTATAAATGACAGCAAGGTGGGGTTGCCGCATTCGTGAGCCACTACCTGCCCCTTTAATTAGACGTTAAGACACTGGCTACACAATTACATACACAGATAACAACGTCTTATTACTGCATTTGTAATGTGGGGTTTTAGCCATAAGATAACTCAGACTAGGTCGCACGTTGTCCTAGGTTAACCTTTTCTTTAAGGTTTGATCTTCCTGGGATCCGCAGATCTACCTGTACATTAAGTAGACCTGTGTTTTAATCCTCTTGATTGGAACCAGATATTCTCTTTATTTTTCACTTGCTTTATTATCATTTCACTTGCTTTATTACATTTCATTTACTTTATTATTTCTCACTTAATACTCTTTTTTCTTTACATTTACACCTGATACCCTTACCTTAATTTAATAGCATCATCTCTTATACCTCACCTGTGCTGTATACTTGTACCATAGAATATATCAAACAATAAACTGCTATAGTTTCTTTACAATACCATATCATACATCATATAATGCCTACATGTACTTACTCAAACAACTAACTAATATGGGACTTAAATGCATGCATGATGTATCGATTTGCTTTCTTATCTAGTTTTCCTTTTCCTTACTTTACCAGTGTTTGTTTTGGTGATATGGTATTCCCTTATTAAATTTCTTGGAATATTTTCTTCATACTCCCATGTACTCTTTTTCTCATTACGCCACTTCACCTTATAACACTTTTTTCCATTGTGTTTACCACATGCCAAGAGTCGCTCAACTTCTTGTACCTGAGGTGGCTGCTGATCACTTTCACTACTACTATCACTAATACTACTACTACCTTGATCAATATGATT